TCAGACTTAATGATTTTAAGTGAGGTCTTGTAACTTCTGTTGGAGATAATTTCCCATAATGTGAAGGGGCTTTCTTGGGGATGAGGTTTCTGATGGGACACACATCCTGATTGGGATTTGTAGTGGCTCTTCTGTACTGATCTGGAGCCCAGCCTCTGCCGTTTTGTCTTTAGTCTGCACACTCTCCTCTTTCAGCCCTCCCCTGCAAGGTGAACTCTGCTCTGGACCCCACCTCTGTAGGTCTGATCACCAGTATTTCCAATTCAGCAAGTTCATAACTGATGTCTCTACCTTCCTCCAAAACCCCTCTTCCTCTTCTTGAAGTCCCCTACTGCAGTGAGAGGCATCACCATCCACACAGTCACCCAAATTAGAAACCTCAGGGAGGGGACATTGCACATCTCTGTACTGCCTCTTCCCTCAACCCCTACGTGCAACCAGAAAACAAAGCACATGCTTTCTTCTCTCAAATCCACCTACGTCTCACCAAAGCCACTGTCTCTACCTTGACTCCAGCCTCCATTATCTCTGCATGGGTCATTCCCCTACCCTTAACCCCACACCCATTCTCCAGCCAGTGCAGGGCGTATCTCACCAGATCATTCCCATTCTCCTCAGAATAAAATCCTAGCATCCAGGCATAGCCACAAAGTTCCTGGTCATCTTGCTCCTGCTGGGCCCTCCAGCCCTGCTACTTCAACACTTCACTCCAGCCAAATCAAATATTTGTATAGCAGAACTGTCCACACTTCCCATCTTCTTAGTTCACTCTCCACCTGCAATGCCTGACCCCCTCCACAGTCCTACCCCCTACCCCCAGCCCCTAAGCTTCTTTGCCTGGACAACTCCTTATCCTTCGAGATTCAGTGTGAAGATTCTTTCTTTGGGAAGTCCATCCACAGCCAGCTGTGCTTGCCTCTAGAGCACCAGGTACTCATTGTATTGGAATCATCTGTCCATTTGCCCCACATCGTACCAGTACATCCTTGAGGTCTGTTTCTGAGACTTTTTCCTCAAAACTCTGGCACCCAACACTTACATAAACATGTGTGTGAATGCTTGAGTTAATGTTGAATTGAATGATCACTGTCAGGTGGGACAGGTCCCTCTGGATCTCCACATGTTCTATGCCAGGGTGCGGGACAAATGTTACGTGACATGGATCAAGGAATAGGCTTTATTGGGAGAATTTGCCAAGGCGAAAGGCCAAGAAGAGAAGTCACATCCCCCAACCCTTCCATCTCAAAAAGAGATATGCCAGGTCCAGGATGCTGCTGGGCCTAGTGGAGGGCCCCCACTACACCTCCTATCCCATGGCTCTCTCTTTTTATAGGGCAATTAAGCAAGAGAAAGCAGCCTATCAATGAGGGCATAAGCAGACTGCTTGGTACTGGGCAGTCTGGACTAGGGGTGCCAGCTGTTTACAGGAGTTGTCTGGGAATTCATTTCCCAGCGCATAGGGCCCTCAGAGCCTTCAGGATATTGCTGCTCTCTCTCCCAGGGGGAGGAGGGGCTCTGTGCTTGAGTGCCACCTCTTCTGGAGAGCTCATTATCTAGACAACCCAGAGTGAGCTACAGGGTCACTTTATGACAATCCAACTAGTTGTGCCACACCAATCATGAATGACTGATGGGACAGATGGGTGGTTGGATGGATGGGTGAGTAGGTAGATGGTGGGTAAGTAGATGAGTAGACGGATGATCAGATAGATGAATGCGTGGGTGGGTGAATGGATGAATGGGTAGATGGACAGATGGGTGGATAAATGTATAAATAGGTGGGTGGACGGGTGGATGGATGGATGGATATATGTAGGTGGGTAGATGGATGGATAGGTGGATATATAGATGGATGTATGGATGGTGAGTGGGTATATATATATATATATATATGTATGTATGTATGTATGGGTGGGTGGATGGATAGATGGGTGGATGGATGGATGAGTGGATGGTTGGATGGGTAGATGAATAGACGGATGATCAGATAGATGAATGCGTGGGTGGGTGAATGGATGAATGGGTAGATGGACAGATGGGTGGATAAATGTATAAATAGGTGGGTGGACGGGTGGATGGATGGATGGATATATGTAGGTGGGTAGATGGATGGATAGGTGGATATATAGATGGATGTATGGATGGTGAGTGGGTATATATATATATATATGTATGTATGTATGTATGTATGGGTGGGTGGATGGATAGATGGGTGGATGGATGGATGAGTGGATGGTTGGATGGGTAGATGAATAGGTGGGTGGGTGGACTGACGGATGGGTGGGTCTGTGGGTGAATGGATGGTTGGACGGACAGATGTGTGAATGGATGGATGGATGGACAGGTGGGTGAATGGATGGATAGATGAATGGGTGGGTGGCTGTCTGTCTGGATGGTTAGAGAGTGGGTGGGTGGGTGGGTGGGTAGATAGATGAATGGATAGGTGAGTAGGAGGAAAGATAGTGCAGGGCTGGAAAGATAGTAGATTGATGGGTAGATGGACAGGTGGGTGAATGGATGGATGAATGGACGAGTAGTGGGTGGGTGGGTGGGTGAGTGGATGGGTGAGTGCATGGAAAGATGGATGAATGGATCAGTGAATGGGTGGATGGATGGATGGATTAATGGATGGATGGATGGATGGATGGATGGGTAGGTGGGTGGATGGATGGATGGATGGATGGGCAGGTAAATGAAAGTGTGAAAGCAACTAGCACATATGAAAGCACCTGTCACCCAATGGATACCCAACTTGTGTTTGTTTCCTTTTCCCCTTTCCCCTTTCTTTTCCTTTCCTTTCCTTTCTTTCTCATCTCAGCTTCAACTTTCTGAGAATACAGAAAGAATTGGCCCTGTCATCTGGTGGCAGGCATGAAAGCTCTGAACCAACATGTGTTGGGGATGAGGAGATGGGCTGAGTGGCTGTGTGACAGCGCCTCCATTCCCATTCCCACAAACATCCTTAGGTTCCCCTGTGCTGTTTTGTCTCATGTTTTCTTCTTCAGCACTGCCCTAATGTACATTTTAACCCAACATCATTTGACTTTAAAATATTGGAGCTTCCCATGCACTGTGATTTGTTCCTGGGTCACAACCCCAAGACAGCCACCTCCCTAGACCAATTGTATGGCCCAAAAATGGGCAGGAAGGGAAGGATAAGTCTGCGTCTGAGATGTTGATTAATTCTGATCCCTGCACTCCCTTCCCACTGCCTCTGCGTGATCTGGGCCTTCATCAGCATAGGAGCCAGTGGTTCTTCAGGGTACCCTGGAAACACCTGGAAATTGTCTACAATGCACATTTCCAGGCTTTGCAGCCAGAAGATCTATTTCAGTTGGTCTGGACAGGGCCCAGAATTCTACAGTTTTTAACTTTGCATCCTCGAACTGCTTCACGGTGAGGCTGGCACTCCCTACATGCTCAGGAGATTGTGATGGAGTGAATGGGAGCCCAGGATACTGGAATGGCCCGATGGCTCCTGCAGAGCTGTCCATAAGGCTCCTAATGGCCCTGCTTTGGAGGACCCTCCCAGCTGGCCAGGCAGGAGGAGATGGGACTTTGTGGGCAATACCCCTAGTGGGTGAGCCTGGAGCACCCCCTCACTACTGCTCCCATATGCACATACCAGAACTCCTTCTGACCTGGCAGAGGAGGGGAAAATGGGTCTAGGAGTTCTGAGCAAAGTGCCCACTGGAGACTATGGATAGGCCCACCCCACTCTGGAGGGCCTGTGCCCAAGTGCAATGTGGATGGGTGTTTCATGGCTCCCATGAGGGACAGCTGAGGCTTCTGCAGAGGCAAGCAGTGGAGCATGAAGACATCCAGGCAGCCTTTGCCTGGTGGAGGCCATTAAGGCTCTGCACTTGGGATGGGAGTGTGGGAGAAAGCAATTAGTAGTGAGAGAAGTGCATGAATCAGCACAGAGTCGGCTCACTCTAATTGAGTCAACGAATTTGTCCTGTTCACACTGGGCTCCCAGGGATGGGAGCTGCATCCTTAAAAGCAAAGCCCTTCTTCAAGGTGGCAGGGGATGTAGAAGACTGTCTTCTGCCCCTCGAGGAAAGAGAGGGGCTCTTTGCATTCTGCACTGCACCCAGTGCCTGCCTCCATCCTCAAAATGCTGATTTTCTTTGCTGAACTGTTATATGTCTTTGGACAGAAGGTTTTCTGTTCTCAAGAAAGAGATTTCCCATTTCTGGATGAGTGTATGTGAGCAGGTTGCCTCTGTTCAGGCTGTTCTGAAGGGTTCTTCACCATCTCCATTTTTTTTTTCTGATACAACATTACAATCCCTATGCAACAGGAATACGTGCGTGCGTGCGTGCACACACACACACACACACACACACCCCACATCCTCATTGAATATCCTTTTTCCAAAATCCTTGGGACTAGAAGTGGTCCAGATTTGAGATATTTTCAGATTTTGGAATATTTGCACATACATTGAGACGTCTTGGAGAATGGTGCCAAGTCTAAACATGAAATTGATTTATCTCCATTTCTTTGCAGCTGCGTTTTCCCTCTGTCTTTTGGAGGAACTCAGCCAGTACCCTCCCCAAGACCAAGTCCTCTGTCTTCAGGGCTTGTTCCTGAAGAATTCTGGCACAATTTTCCAGGAGCTCTGCTTTACCTCATTCTCTTTTTGCCCTGACATTGTTTCCCTTTAGACAAATTCTATTCTGGGAGGGCACAATAAAATGTCAACTGATTAAATAAAATATTTTGAAATATATGTAATTTTTTCAACAGTCTAATGTTTACATTTTAAAGGGGGGCATTTGAAGCAAAAATAAAAATCCTGTAATCCCCAGTAGCTTGGTGCTGTCATGGTAGAACAGGCTGTGGAGTTGCTAATTTGGCCTGAGTGTCCCCATTTGGTCCCATGACAGAGGGGACAGCATTTTCTTCCATCTACTTGTGAGATCTGCTGGTTCCGAACTTTCCAAATCCCCAACCTAATGACTTATTTTTCTCTCTTTTCTGTTTTTGTTTCCTAGGAACGAGTGGAATATCTCTTTCTCATAATTTTTACGGTGGAAGCATTTTTAAAAGTAATCGCCTATGGACTCCTCTTTCACCCCAATGCCTACCTCCGCAACGGCTGGAATCTACTAGATTTTATAATCGTGGTTGTGGGGTAAGTATCACTGCCTGCCTCTTTCCCTTTACCTTCCTAGTGTTGCAGGACTTCTCCTTAGTTTAGCCGAGGACGGAGTCCTTGTCACACAGCCACAACAATCTAGGCTCGTAGATAATCTGGAGAGTGAGAAAAATGAGATTTATTTTGCAAAAAGGGACAGAAAGGGAAACAGGGACTCTTAGCAAAGTGAGAGCACGCTTCCTGCCCACGAGCTTCCCGCCTGCAGATTGAATTCCAGGTTCCACCCAGGAAAAGGAGGGGTCAGGCTTCTCCCTGCTGCGAAGGGTGTGAACTTCTGTGGCTCCACCCCAGTGTGCACTCCTCCCAGTGTGCTGGCTGGCTGGAGTTTCTCTGGGGACCCCTTCCCACCTGGCTGTCTCAACAGTACATCTCTCTTCTTCCTTCTGTATTATCTCTTTCCGTTTGGTTCTAATCGTGCTGGGTTTCAGGCAAGAAGAAATGATATATGAAAATCACTTTGATTTCAGACTCCTCCAGAGGGATAGGGACTATGACCGAAGAGCACCCCTCTCCCCCGCTCCCACACAGGCATGCACACACGGGTGGAGCTGAGTGCTCCTAATAGAACCCAGACTGCTCTGTGCCGCTAAGGAGAGCCCCCTGCTTAAGGACTTTCATTTCATCTCAGACTACATCTGGCCCTGCAGTTCCTCTGACAGTTTCCCTGCTGTCTCACTGAGCACATTTGGGGCAGCTCACCAGTGAGCAAGCAGCCTGCAGGTGTGGGGTGATGGTGGGGGTGCATAGGCTGTGCCTGTGCTCTGGACTCAGACAGAGGCCTCATCCCCATCCTCACTCTACAGGGGGCCTGGTTCTGTGGCTCCAAGAAACCAGCCTGCTCGAGATAGGTGGATGAGAAGGAGACAGGGAACTATGAAAGGCCAAGATGACAGGTAACCAAACCCCAATCAAATGCTGCTTCCCCCAAACACCTTGCTCCAGTGTAGCATAAGATAAGGTAGAGTCAGTCTAGGCTTTCAAAACCACAACACAAAGAATCTTAAATAAAATGTAGAACTGATCTCCTACATAAGTTGGTAACCTCACAAAAAGATTCTCCGTAAAATATTTGTACCTAACAGGCCTATGTACACTGGTGAAGTGTAATTTATTAAAACGCAGTTGATGAAGGTCCAGCAACACATCTGTTTTGTAATAGGATGGAGCCCACTGCAGCAGATTTTACCTAGAGAACAAGCCGGCTGCTTTGGGCTAGTCCCTTGTTACTCTGACCCCAGTGAGAGCTCAAGTGGCTGCCGCCTTGGACTCTCCCTCCCTTGGAGTCCTGGCAGTCTGCAGAGTCAAGGTCAGAATGTCAGGAACTCTTTATCCCAGAGGCCTATTTTTGGGGGATCCTTTTGTGCCATCCCGGAGGAAACACAGCCATTGTGGACGTCTCCAGAGCACCTGCCGTTCACCATCTTGTGGGAGTGCCTGGTCTTTATTGCAGGAAGTAACGCAGGAGGACATCCAGATCATTTGCAAGTTATGTCCTCATCTCTGGCCATCTGGATGGCTCATAAGGTTGTTTAGAAACACACTGAGTTTTTAAAATTTTGTTGCCATTTTTTGCTTGGCCAGTGAATGATGCACTTTGGCCACATGAACCTCGGGGGTGTTTAGGTGATACGACGGGCACTAAGGTTATTAGCGTTATTAGCCAGGTCTAGCTCTGGCTCGGGGCACTTAGAGTGGTTAAACATGTGCCTTGAACACTGCAGTAAACCACAGCAAAAGTCCTTAAGGTGGGTTGTTCCAAGTGCCCCTAAGTCCTTTTTAGAATTCAGCATCTTTCTCCAGGCCTCAGTCTTCTGGGAGCCTCTTGCACATGCATAGAAAGAGCCTCGGGAATGAGAGCAGATGCTTCTTGGATGAACGGAGGGATGAGGGTGATTTGCAGGGACGAATTTTGTTTAGGCAAAATTTTGGAATTTTTGATTAAGTTGGAGTTGATTATATGTGCTTTGCCCCGTATGTGGTCTTAATTAAATCATGAGTCGGGGGAATAGAGACAAGAAATACAGGGTGAGCAGGTACCAAGCAGGAACCCTAGGAGGGAGGGACCCTGTCTGGGTTGCACAGGGAGGGAGTCCAGTGGAGCATCTCTGGCCCACACTTGGTGCCTCACCTGCAGCCTGTCTAGACCTGGCTTCATCCCTTAGACTCCTCCCCACAACTGTAGGCAGCCAGGCTTTTTTGTGGGGTCAACCCTGATTCCAGTTGCTTCCCCCTGGGGTCTAGGCCATGAGGCTGACAAAGGGAGGGAGGCATCCAGATGTGTGCTCCTGTTTCTGAGCCACAAAGTTAATGACACCAGCAGTTCCCCAGCTCGTGGTTGGTCTTACACTGGGCCATATTTGGCACCTAGATTCTCTTCTCCTAAGGACTCTTCACCCTGTCTAAAGCAGCCCATCCTTGTAATCATCCCCCATCACTGGTGGGTGCAGCTCACCACCTCTCTTCAGCCCACCTCCTTTTCCTACTTCCTTTGCAATATTAATGGGTGCCCCTTTGCTTCCCTGTGTCTCTTGGGAAATGTCTGCTATCCTTGGCCCCTTCTCTATAGCTGTAGGGGAAGGTTTCTCGCGGCCTCCCACAAAGCTGGGTGAGGGCTGACACTGTGGAGAAAGGCGGACCTGCCTGCCTACTGCCTGAGTGCCAGGCTGAGAGTCTCATCTCTACGTTGCTATTCTGGTGGCACATAAATGACAAGTAGCATTTCTTTCCTTCCTAAAGCAGAGGACCCTTGGTGATGGGACTGCTGAATAAACATGGAGGGACTGTAGCAGCCTCGGATCTACCTCGCCCTCCCCATGATCATTCTGCAGCCTCACAATCCTTTTCTTCTAAAAGTTCCACTGCCTGGCTACAGATCTGCCAAACACACCTACAAAAGCAATCCTCCGGCCAGTCATCCACGTCAGAACCCAGCCCATAGGGACCAGTGGGCACCGAGCAGTGGTTTCGCCTTCAGAATGTCTCATTGAGGAGAAGTACAGCAGCCACTCCCACACCCATGTTTGAATTTTCTGTCCCTTCAAAATTAAAAGCAGATACTTAATAAAGAGTCTCAACTTGAGGCAGGAGTTAAAGGAAAGTTTTCTAATCTCCACTCCCTTCACTGAATGCTATTTGGTGAACATCTTTTACTCCGATGAGCATGTTGCTTTCTTCCAGGAAACACTGGGAACAAAATCTGGTTTGCATTGGAATGTCGTTTGACAAATTAGCAAACTGGTCTTCATTCCCCAGGTTTCAGTGATCTGGACTTCAATGGAAAGAGCGATTTCCTTGTGGAGAAAGAAGCCCACTCCCCCCATCCTGGCAACTTCTGCCTGGGTTTCAAAGCCTTGCCAGCCAATATCGGGAGCCATCAAGTTGCCAGGCTGGGAGACACTGCAGAGACAGCCTGAAGAGGGTGTGAAACTTCATTTAGCTATGGAGCCCACTGTCAGAGTCTTGTTCAGATGTCCAATATACAGACCAGACAGAAGGGGAGCTGCTCTGGACTAGAGGAGCCAGAACCCCAGTCACTCAGCCACTCAGCACCTGGGGGCCTCCACGGAGCTCCGTTTCTAGACCAGTCCCCTCACAGCTCAGCCCTGCCTGGCCCTGAGCTTCTACTAATGCTTCTGGCTAGTCTCCCAGCTGCAGCCTCCCATTTCTAGATCCAGTTACCTTGGGCATAAGTCACTTAAGAATTCAAGCCTGTTGCTCCTGAATGAAAGTTGCCCTGGCTCACAGTTCAGGTCTGATATGGGGACTCACTCCTAATACCTGGGCTCCCTCCTTGATCCCAGGCCCCACTATTGAAGAAACATGACCCAGCATGCAGTGCACACTGCTGGCAATGAATCCATAGCATCCTCTCTGGGTAAAAAGGTATAAATTTCCCATCACACAGGATGCCCTGCACACACTTTCCCCTATTTTTCTCAGTTGCCATGAAATGCCCCAAATTCTTGGGTCATCCCTAGTCACCAGGACTCCTGTTCCCATGTGGCTCTGCGCATCCTCTGATCTAAGCCCTCCTTTCTCACCACCCCACTGTGGAAACCTTCCCACTGTGCCCTCCAATTCCCATAGTCCCCTGCCTGTTGAGGGTCAGCCAACTTTTCTGTAAGGACCAGATGCTGTGTTCATCTTTGTGAACCGTGCAGTCTCTGTTCCAGCCACTCCACCCTGCCCAGCAGCAGGACAAGAGCAGTTTCTCCATCAGTGGGTGTAACTGAAGCCCAACAAAACTGTATTTACTAAACAGGGGCCCAGTTCTCAGCTTCCTTTGTGGTCATTTCCTGATTCTCCCCTGGGTGCAGCTTTCCCTGAACTTCCTCTCTCAGAAGCCGCCTTCCTTGGCACCAGGTTGCTAGGTCTGAGGGGGCCCTGCCAGCTCCTTATTTCTGCTCCACCACCCGCCTCCCTGGAGCCCTCCAGTTTTGACGTTTGTGTCATCAGACCCTCTATGCCTTACTTCTCCTCTTCACCACAGCCTTCTGCAGACCTTTGAGTCACCCCTCCTTGTGCCTTGAGGATGTGGGCTCTTGGCTCACTCTATCTCATTCTAACCTCACTTCTCCATTTTCCTTTCAGTAGCTTCTCTGTTCCTGGATGTCTGCCTTCTGGGGAGCATATCTCAATAGGCTCACTCCCATGCGTATAGTCAATATCCCTGTCACCACTGATAACACCTCCCCATAATCCAGAATCTAACATCCTACTCTCTAACCAGCACCACCATCTTTCCAGTCCCCTCCTCTCTCACCCTGACTCCCACGGTCCCTTTATCCTACCACATGCTTCATCCCTGCCCCCATGTCTACCCTCCTTCCAGCCAGCTCAGACGCCATGCGCCACTGCTGCACCCACTCACTTGCATTTATGCTCAGCTTTCTTAGTCTTCTCTCTGTTTATCTTGCACACCTGGAAAAACACCAACCCTAATCAAGTCCAACCAAATGGAGATCTGCTCGGTGCCTGGAAAGGGTCAAGAAATCTGCAAAGCTGAGCAGAGTCTCACTTTACACTCATGACCTCCAACCTCCAAGAGGCCCTTGGTGATACCCGAGGGCCCTCCTGCTTTGTCCCCACTCCATTCACCCTTCTGCTTTCTGAGATAACTCTTTCAGCACCCTTGCCTCTCTCTAAACTTCCCATCTCCTTCCCCTTTCCCATTTTCGGCCGATGGCCCTGTTCCCCAGTTCCCTGAGAAAGATGCAGTCAGAAGGGAAATTTCATATGTTCCCACAACCATGTGTCTATGCTGACGATGTGCCTTCTTACTGAACCACGACACACGGCCCTGCCCCTACACAGCTGGACACCCTTCGTGTGCACTGACTCCCTCTTGCCAGTGAAGGGGCTCTGTCCTACCAGTAACAGTTCCTTCTTGCTTCTATGTCATCACATTTCCTGCCTCTGTTAGATGAGTCCCACCACATAGAAAAATGCTGTCGTATCTCCCATTCAAAACCAAAACCCTGTTGACTCCACACCCACTTCTAGTAGCCCCCTTTTTTCTCTGCTCACTTAGAGCAAAATTTCGCAAAAGAGTTGTCTATAAGGAAGCCACATGTGGCCATTCAGCACTTAAAGTGTGGCTAATCTGAATTGCAATAATAATAAGTATAAAATATACAGCATATTTCAAAGATTTAGTACGTAACACGGAATGACAAATGTCTCATGAATGCTTTTTTATATTTGTTACATGTCGAGATGATGATATTTTGACTATGTTGGGTTAAATAAAATCTATGATCACTGTCAATTTCATTGCTTTTACTTTTCCATGTGGCTACTGGCAAAGGTAAATTACACATGCAGCTCCCACTCATGGCTTGCACCAGCTTTCTGTTGGCTGGGGCTGTCCGTCCTCACCGTCTCCAACTCCTCCCATGCGCTCTTGAACCTGAGTCTGCTGGGCTTTGTCCACATCACCCCACCAGCACAGATACCTTCAAGGTCTGGATGGTCTTCATGTTGCGAGACCCAGCGGTCAGTGTTCAGCCATGCCCCTGCAGCATGTGACACCACCGCCTGTTCACTGGCCCCTCTCTTCATGTGGTGCCATTCTCTCCATGTATCCTGCTCTGCAAGCCATCCCTCATCCATCTTTCTTGCTTTCTCCTCTCTTGCCCCCTCCATGTGGGAGCACTGCAGGGTTGAGTCCTTTCGCATCCTCACCTTCTGCACTGGCTTCCTGTGTAGTCACATACAATTTGACTTTAAATATGAACTATACGCAGCCGGGCGCGGTGGCTCAAGCCTGTAATCCCAGCACTTTGGGAGGCCGAGGCGGGTGGATCACGAGGTCAAGAGATCAAGACCATCCTGATCAACATGGTGAAACCCCGTCTCTACTAAAAATACAAAAATTAGCTGGGTATGGTGGCATGTGCCTGTAATCCCAGCTACTCAGGAGGCTGAGGCAGGAGAATTGCCTGAACCCAGGAGGCGGAGGTTGCGGTGAGCTGAGATCACGCCATTGCACTCCAGCCTGGGTAACAAGAGCGAAACTCCGTCTCAAAAATAAATAAATAAATAAATAAATAAATAAATAAGAACTATCCAACTACTGTACTTTTGTCTCTAGCTTGGACCTCCCTGCTGACCTCCAGACATAGTAGAACCAACTCAAGACATGTATTTGATGTCCAAGCAACAGCTCAAACTTCAAGCTCTCAGCAGAACCCTTGATATCCATTCAACCATATCTCAACTTTCCTGGTGCTCACACCCAAACTGTTGGAATCTTCCCTGATTCCCCTTTCTTTCTTACACCTCACATCTAGTTCATCAGCCAGTGCCAGCAGTTTTATCTTAAGGTGAATCTGATATCCACCTTTTCCTCACTACCTGCAACACCACTTGTTCTGAGCCACCAGCATCTTGCACCTTGGTGACTGCAGCAGCTGGTCTCTCGCCTCGCCCCTGGCAGGCAACTTTCCCACATCAGCAGAATGATTCTTTTAGACCTGTGGTTAGATCATGTCACTCTCCTGCTCAAAGTCCCCCAGTGGCTTCTGACTCAGAGAGGAAACCAAGCACCTGGTGCTTGGCTCCCTGTTTCCTCACCGACTTTCTTTCCCATGGTTCTCCTCTTTTCTGCCCTGCTCCAGCCATGCTGGTTGCTGTTGTTCTTCTAACGCACACCCTGCTCCTCCCTTGGGACCCCGGTTATCCTGCTTCCTGTGCCTGAAACAGTCTCCAGATAGCTAAGTGGGTCCCACTCTCACTTCCCATAGACCTCTGCACAGGAATCATCCGCAGAGAGTTTTTTGTGCAGACCTCTTGTGTGGGATGGAAGGCGGCCCCCACCCAGTCTGTGCAGAGCCCCTCCCTGCTCCTCCTCCTCAGCACTCATCTTTCTAAGCTGCAGTATCTGTTTACTGATTGCTCAGTTTATTGTCTGTCTCCCTGTGGGAATGTAAGTTCTTGAGGGGAAGGGCTTTGTCTGTTTTGCTATAGCCCAATTGTCTAGAACCCTAGAACCCTGCCAGAGACTGCAGGTGCTCTTGTTTGTTGGAGGAGTGAATATGCCAGCACAGACCTAAAGGGGCAGGGGCTTTTCGCCCTGCAGCTCAGTTACATGCACACGTGATTTTGCCCCACTTGAGCCCTTCCTGTTCAACCACTCGACCATTCATTCCTTTGTGCAGCACACGCCTCCTGAGCAGCCGCCGAGTCCAGCACAAAGCAGGTTTCCATGGGCCAGGAGCTAGTCAAAGAGAGGGGGTGTCTAGAAGGAAGGAGGTGGGCAGAGAAAGAGAGCATGTGGTTGCTGGCACCCCTGGGTGGGGCATGAGGATGCTGTGGAGAGGGCAGAGGGCTCCTCAAGGAGAGGAGGACTGATGACTTTACCTTTTTCCCACTTTCGTCCAGCACCTGTCCAGCTCATGCCTTTATGACGGCAGAGGGCCTGACCCTCAGCTCGCTCAGGCCTCTCTGGGCCATGGTAACCCCCTCGGCATGGCCACCACCCATACTGGGGATGTCAGCTTACAACCACCCACAGGCCCCCACACACACCCACAGTGCCTGCTCCTGGGCTGGAGACACCTATGCAATCTGCTTTTCCAGGCTGCATCCAGAGGTCAGAGCCCCAGCTGGGCACCGAAGCCCAGTCCTGACAGTCCTTCTCTCTTTCCTCTCCTCTAGGCTTTTTAGTGCAATTTTAGAACAAGCCACCAAAGCAGATGGGGCAAACGCTCTTGGAGGGAAAGGGGCCGGATTTGATGTGAAGGCGCTGAGGGCCTTCCGTGTGCTGCGTCCCCTGCGGCTGGTGTCTGGAGTCCCAAGTAAGTGAAGCCTGTTCTTCTGTACGGTGTTATCTCCTCACCACCTTCTGCTGTCCTTTGCCGAATTGCCAGGAACACTCTGCAAAGGGACCTGATTCCATGTAAATGAAGGGGGTTTTGTTTTTGTTGTAAAATGAGTTCCTTTGATCTGAAGAACCCAACTCTGATGTAAGTACCTTAAAACATGCTGTGGTCCCAGCTCTTGGAAACTCCTGGAGAAAGTTCACAGCAGTCACTCAGCTACAGGAATACTACTGGAAGGAAGCAATCCCATGGCTGTCTGAGCCACCCTGGAGGCCCTGCGCTGGGAATTTAAATACATTTGCAGCAGAAGAGCCAGGTGGCTAATCCTCAAGGCTCCAGAGCACTTTAGCCGATGAGATTATCTCTACTTACTGTATTTTTCCAAAGAACAATAAGGAAAGCATCAATGGATGTTCTAAAAGTTCTAGTTTGACCTTTGTCCCTTTCCTGTCAAATGGGGCAGCCCAGGCCTCAGGAGCCCTACTGGGGACATCACGCCTGTCATTGTGAGTATTGATTTTTCCCAAAGAGAGGAGGGTGTTCAGCTCTCTGAATCAGTGGAAGGGTTTGGAGAGGTCTTGTCTATCCGGATATCAATCACGTGGACAATGCCTCTTCTGCCACTCCTCCAGAAGCCTGGCCCATTATGGATGCACCCCAGGTACTGAACACAGCGGCTTCAGGCCACCTGGGGAGGCTCCAGCAAACCCCAGCCCAAGGTGCTCCTGGGGACTCAGTCAGCTTTAGGAGAACTCCTACTCTTCCTTCTTCAGTTTGTGGTATCTGAGAATAATTCTGGACTCACTTGCTTAAATTTTACTTTCAGTTCAGCTCGAGTAGATTTGGCTCATGACTCAAGACATAGGAGACCCCTCAGACTAGGCTAGGACCAGATGAGCTTAGAGTTGCGCTGAGGGACAAGTAGACAGAGGTCCTCCGAATGCACAGCCTCTCCTACCCATGCCTTGCACTGAGCACTTGGTTACCTGTGTGTTGCTGGCTGGGATCTCTTGGCGTCATGAACCCATGGAAATGTGAGCGACTTTATATTAACCAGTTTATTTTTTGTTCATGCACAGAATAGTGAAAAGATCTTCCTGTGACTTTAATCTAACAGCAGTGGCAAGACTAGAATCAGGTCTCCTGATTTCTAGACCAGCTCTCTTTCCTACCATACAGCACTGCCTCTTTTAAAGAATTAAATGGTATTTATCTCACACATGTATCCTGTCTCTTAAACTACACTGTAAGCCTCTGGAAACCCAGAACCGTGCCTTCTATTGACTCTGAATCCTGCACAATACCTAATTCAGTCTCTAAATAAGTGAGGGGAACTTACTGAATAAGCAAAAGCAAGAGTTTGTTTTCTTTGTGGCGGGACTCCCTGGGCAAAGCTTGTGGCCTGTCTTAAGCTCAAAGGGCACACAGAGCTGAGTCACACAAGCACAATTAAAGCAGACTTTCTCTACTCAGCCTTAACCATTTGGGGTTACTTAGGAATAGAAACTGCATATATTGTGGCCAGGACCCATTTCGTTTTGAAGTCTAAATTATTTGGGTTTTCTTTGTCAATCAGCCACAACTCAATACCCAAAATCAGGAAGTAGCAAGGGAGGATGGCAGTGACTTTGAACATGACTTTAAGGAGCTTGTAATAGGACAGCCGGTGTGTCAGTGATAGGAACTAGGAGTTAACGCTAGACGCCAGCCAACCAAGCAGAGTAGACGCAATGACCCTTACTTAGCCCGTTACCTATGTACTTATTAGGGGCCTGCAATTTGTATTAGGGGTATTAGGGCATATCATAAAGAACAAGCATGGTCTTTTCACTAGAGAAACTTGACAGTCTAATAAAAGAGTATATCAGTCAGCTTTTGCTGTGGGAATAAACAGTCCCAAACTCTCCATGGCTTACAACCAGCAACGTTTATACCTGGCTCATGGCGCCTGAGGATAGTGGTCAGCAGCAGCTCTTCTACACGCAGCTGGGCTCTGGGCTTGACCTCATTCTGCTTGCCATCCAGTTCCGGAGCTCAGGTCGGAGGATCCCTTACCTTTGGTGGTAGGCCTTGTGGTTCTCGTGGCTGAGGGCAGAAGCTCACAAAATGGGGCCTAGAGCCAAACCACACCAGCAACTTAAGGCTTATGCTTAAATGTGGCTTGCATCTTAGCTGTTCACATTCCACCAGCCAAAGCAAGTCACATGGCCACCCTCAAAGGTAACGGGGCCAAGAAGTGCACTGTACCTGCAGAGAAGCATGGCTGAACGGTTGAGAGCACAGAGCAGCCTACCACAAAGAGACTGAGGAGATGATTGTTATCAACAGCAGTAGCTACAGTAATTGCGCTAGTACAGAGATTCTTAATTAGAGATGAATATGGTTGAGAGCCACTCATGCCACAGTGCATTAAATAGGAGAATTAGATTAGATCCAGTCACTTGGGTTCCACTACAGAGGAAACTTCCCGAGGACGGAGCCCTGTCTCCATCTGCACTTAAGGAAGATAGATGTGTCTTGTAGTGGTCAAGAAGCAGTAACACTCCTAGGAATTCTCTCAAGAAGATGAAGGCCTCAAATGCAAGGCCCTCATGTGACCTGCCATGCAGTCCAGGAAAATATTGTTGTCATCAGAGATGATGACACTGAGGTGGTTTTGCTGTTGTGGGTGCCTTGCAGGTAGCTCCATGCTTATGCACAGGAGCAACAACTGTGTCTGGTTTCCTGTAGGTCACCAGTAAGATGGCGACTCTTTCTCAGCTCATCCAGCCTTCTGCCCTTTCTTGCTAGAATAGTGTCTGTGCAGCTTTTGAAACAGTGAAGCATGCAGACCATGATGGATCAGGGCACTGTACCAGTGTGGTTGATGTCATCTACAAAGATGTCAGCAGTATCTCCCCTGACCACAAACCTAGACACATGCCTTCTTCTTCTACTTCTCATAGCCATGGGTTATCTCCTTCTGTATTTCAGCAAAACTCCTCAAGAGTTGCCTCTACCTGTTGTCTGTGATTCTTGTCCTCCTATTCTCTCTTGAATCCACTCGATCACGCTTTCTCTCCCACTGCTGCACCAAAACATCTGTCCAGACCATCAGTGATGGCCGTCACTGCACCCAGTGCTCCATCCTCCAGGGCCATGTTATGTGACCTGTTGGCAGCTTTGAATGCAGCTGATCCCTCCTTGTCTTTGAGTCATTATTGCCCTTGGCCCATGGAACAGTGTTCTTTCTTAGCTCTGCCTTCATTCACGTGCTTCTTCTTCTTGGAATCTTTGGCTGACTTCCGTCTCATCTTCTCAGCCTCTCAACATTGGGAAGCTCCAGGGGTAGATCCTGAGATCTCTCCTCTGTCTGCACTTACTCCCTAGTTAACGTGTCTAGCCTCCTGGTGTTGAATATCATCTATGTATAAACCATCAGCTGTATGTCACCAGCCCAGACCTTGTCCCCAAACTTCAGACTTGTTTTCTACCTGCCGACTCTGTTTCTCTCCTGTCTGAATAGCTAATACGTGTCTTGCACTTAGCAAGACCCACAGCAGAACTCTCCCAAAGTCTTTCTCAGATCAGTAAATGCTGGCCATCCTTCCAGTTTCTCAGGCCCAAAATCTTGGACTTATTTTTCTCACTCTTTGCATACAGTCCACCAGAAAATCCTATGAGCTTTATCTTCCAAACGTATCAAGACTTTGTCTCTTACCACCTGCACACTCAGCTCAGTGCTGGCCACCCTCACCTCTGGCTGGATGATGGCAGCAGCCCCCGTAGGAGTCTCTGCCTCCACCCGTCACGGCCTGTCCCTAACACAGTATGCAAATGGCCCTCTGAACAGCCAAGTCAGATCATGTTCCTGCCCTGCTCGGGACCCTCCAAGGCTTCCCTGACTTGCCCAGAGTGAGTGCCAAAGTCCCACAGGCCCTGTGGCCTCATGCCTCCTTCCTCCCTGAGCTCACCTCCTTCACCCTCCCCTCCTGTCCCTCCTCACCAGGCCTCCACAGTGACCCCCTTGCTATTCCTCTGATATTCCAAGCTCACCCACTGTGGGATGGTGGCCAGCGCTGCCCCTTCTATTTGAACACCCTCGACTCAGCTCTCTACACAGGACTTTGTACCTCCTCAGCCCCGGCTGATGCCATCCCCTCACTTCCCCATTCATCCAGCCTCCCCTGCTCCATTCCCCACATCAGTTCTCACCATCTGCCACTCTACACGTGTATGTGTTCATTTGCTTATCACCCCTTACCTCATGAGAATGTAACCTACGTAAGGAAACAGTTTTTGTTAGTTGTGTTCACAGCTGTGTCCTCAGCACCGACAATAAAGGTGATAATATCTATAGAATGAACAAACATGGTTACATGGATGCCTGTGGCGGCTGGCTTGGCTTCACATCGCAGGCCCTAAGAGCCACTCAGGCCACTAAAATGCTGTGAGTGCTGCCAGCTTCGTGGACATGTGCCTTCACTGGCCTTTCCGAAGGGTCTTTACTTCTTCCATCTCATTTGATCTTCATGACAATTGGGTAATTTGAAGAAATGTACACAGGTGATATGTAAATATGTAGGATTTTTCTTCCAACAAATAGGTTCATTGGGTGGTTTTTGAGATCTGCAACTCCAAATCAGTCATGTTAGAGGCCCCAAAAGTTGCTGCTATTTTTTAAATGCCCATATATGTACTAAATATCATTGAAATCTCATCACAGGTTATAGAAATAGATGACTGTTAGAGTACAAGTCCATGAGTCATTTATCAATTTGTTCAGCAAAATTGACTAAGTACTTACTTTATGTAAGAGTTTGCTAGCCATTGTAGCAGATACAGAAGTGAGTCAGATACTAAGTGTGTCCCAGAGAGCTTGAGTATAGTAGAAGGAAAAATATTCATACAAATGATTATATAGGATAAAAATTGGAGATGCCAAAAAACAAAGTTTAGGTAAGATGTATGACGCTGTGAATTCTGTGACAAGCATG